CTTGTCCCCCCACCCCTGCACAGTACGGCGAGGATACCTTCAACCGGGCCAAGCTGCTCAACGTGGGCTTCCTGGAGGCCCTGAAGGACGAGGACGACTACGACTGCTTCATCTTCAGCGATGTGGACCTGGTCCCCATGGACGACCGGAATCTGTACCGGTGCTACGAGCAGCCGCGGCACTTCGCCATCGCCATGGACAAGTTCAGCTTCAGGCGAGTGCCGGCGGGGCCGCGGGCGGAGCTGGCAGGGGTTGGACGCCAGGGCGGGCACCTGCCGCGGAGCGAGCCAGCCCTGGCCCAGTGTGCTGGGACCCGGCTCGGCAGGCAAGGAGGCGGCTCTCTGGGAGGGAGGTTCAGTGGGAGGGGTGGCGTGTGCCGTGGCGCTGCGGGGAGCATGGGGGCAGCAGGACAGAGATGTGGGAGTGGGTGGGGGAGGTGCCGTGCTGGGCATGGCAGGGGGGCAAGGGATGCCAATTGGCAAAGAACCGGGCCATGGGGGGAGAGGGAGATGGGGGCTGGTAGCAGCTTTCCTTGCAGGCTCTCGGTGCCTGGGAGCCTGGCCCCCTTCCTGAGCCAGAGCAGAGCCCAGACAGCGCCCGGAGGGGAAGAGAGCACTGCCCCCGGCTCCCCCTTGGCCTGCCCGTGCCCGCGCTGACGCCGGCTGCTGCTTGTCCCTGCAGGCTGCCGTACGCTGGCTACTTCGGGGGCGTCTCAGGCCTGAGCAGGTCCCAGTTCCTGAAGATCAACGGCTTCCCCAACGAGTACTGGGGCTGGGGAGGCGAGGACGACGACATCTTTAACCGGTGGGTGAGCCCCCCAGGGCTGCTGGGCCAGGTCCCTTGCTGTGCCAGCCCAGAGCCCAGCCCTCCACTGTGGCTGGAGGGCCCAGAGCCCAACCCTCAGGCCCTGAAACAGGCACCTGTCCCCCAAAGCACCTGTCATCGGTCAGGCTCCCAGGCAGCCCCACCCACGGACGTCGGCGCTCTGCCCCCCTGCGGCTGGACTCGGGATGGACAGGGCTCGCTGGGGGCGTGTGGCCCCATGGAATGGGCTGAGCAGGGCGAGGGATCCTGGGTCCTGCCCGACATTTGGCTTGTCGCTCGCTGCCACTCCAGCTGCCCGTTCCCTCCGCCAGCAGGGTCTGTGTGCCGCACCTGGGGGGCGGAGTGCTCAGCTCCGGGGGGCGGAAGGGAGTCGCCGTTCCTGCAGCCTCTCTCTGTCCTACTGCCTGGGAGAGGAGCCAGCGGTGCAGCCAGCCCGGTGTGCCCGGCACGGCGAGCCCCACTGAGCTGCCTGGCAGTGCCCGTGCCCTCGGTGGTGTGGCACGGCTGGGTCATGCTGCTGTGCCCTGCCCTGCCCCAGGGGGTCTCTGCAGCTGTGGGGTAGCTGGCCTGGTTGTGCTTCCCTAGGCTGCCCGCTGGGAGCAGCTGTGGGGTCCCCTGGCCCTACCTTGGGAGGGGCTGGTCAGGCCCAGCTGGGCGCGCTCCGGCGGCGTCTCTGGTCCCGGTGCGGGATCTGCCCCCGAGCTGCTCTCGCTGCCCTGGCGCTTTGCTGGCTCTTGTGGGACTTGCAGCCTCCGTGGCCACGTAGATGCCGTCGAGGTGGAGATGTGGCCGAGTGCTGCCACGGGACACAGCCAACGTGTGGTGCCGGGTCTGAGACACAGCTGGGATGGGGGGCACGTGGGGAGAGGGGCTGTGTTGGGGCCGGGCCAGGCATGGAGCAGGGCAGTGCCTGGCCTGGATCGATCAGGGAGTGGTTGGGGGCTGGATGAATCCTATTCCCTGGGCCAGCAGCTCCCCGCAGTGGCTGGCTCCAGGTGGCTCGGCCTCGCTCCTGGAGCCACTCGGCAGCAGGGCAGGTTGACTGAAATCCCCGAGTTCAGTCGTGGTTTGCATTGGTCCGTGTTAGTTCTTTGTTCGTTGGTGGGGTGCCAGCACCCCGTGGCTTTGTAACCCCAGAGCGCCTCCGGCTCAGCCCGGGGCTGCTGTCTGCCGCTGGCTTGGCGCTGATTTCAGCAATTCCCTCGCTCAGCGTGCATGTACCCGTCCCTTGGGCCCGTGCCCGGGGGAGGGACACGGCTCTGGTTTGCTCAGTGGGGACGTTTTACTCCTGGCTTGGGGTCAAGTTGGATTTGGATGGAAACTGGAGGTCAGTTAAAACTTGAAACCCACCCTGGTGGCTGGAGACCCCAGAAGAAAGAAGCCCGTCAGACCGTTGAGCTGGGCTGTGTTAAAGCAAGGGTGGGCGGGCTGTAGTTACTTAGTTGAGATTGTTTATGCTCCCCGGGGCCAGGCTCCAAAGGGATTTAGGAGCCTAAAGGTGCAGCTAGGTGACTAGTGGGACTTTGGAAGCAGGGTTAGGTGAAGTGCCGGATGCCCATGAAATCCAGCTCACCTGCTCAGGTGCTCTTGAAATCCCCCCAGCCACCTGGCTTCCTCTTTAGGTGCCTGCCCACCTTGGACCATCTGGCGCCGTCCCTTGCGCACGGGGTTGGCAGCTCTCCTTGCAAGGGGCAACCAGCTTTCCTGCTTCCTCACCTCCTGCGTGGGGGGCGGGGGGGGGGGGGGAGGAGTTTCCTCTGCACCTGCCAGACAACCTGGCACCCAAAGGGCTAGTGGCAAAGGCTTTTCGACTGCGCTGACCCGCCAAGCGGAGAGGCGGAAGCCCTGGTCTGGCGAGTTCCCGGCGCGGTGCTGGAGCTGGAGCCGGAGCCGGGCCTTGAACTCCCCAGTGCACAGCTGCTGTTTAGTACTGATCGTAGAGTCCCTGGTGTCACCCCGCTCCGCGGTGCGGTCCTGCTCCCGGGCCCCGGCTCTGACTGCCCCCTGCTGGCGTCCCAGTGGTGGTGCCGGTGGGCCCTGACCAGACAGGAGCCTCTGGCTTTGGTCCTGCCCTGGCTCCGCTCCCCAGTCGTGCTCGGAGCGGCAGGTGGCAGCTGGGCCCGCTTCCCGTGGGGGCGGGCGCAGGCCCTGGGGACGTGTGCAGAGGGACTCATGCCAGTCGCTGTCAGGCTGGGGGGGGCAGAGGGGCCCAATCCCTTTGCTGCTTGTAGCGATGGCAGAGGGCCGGGCCCTCCGGGGCTGGTGCCAGATCCCAGCTGGCCCAAGCTTCGTGCCGCTCGTGCCAGCTCGGCTCGCTCTGTCCCCAGGATCTCTCTGAACGGCATGAAGGTGTCGCGTCCCAGCGGCCACATCGGGAGGTACCGCATGATCAAACATGACCGCGACAAACACAACGAGCCCAACCCACAGAGGTGAGACCCCGGCCTGGCCCAGCCCCGAGCCCCACAGCTGGTCACCGCCTCCAGTGCCCCATGTGTTGCCTGGGCTCCATGGCTTGGCACTGCCCGGGGGAAGCCTGCCTAGGAAAGCTCCCCCCATACCATCCAAGAGCCCACCCCACCCCCTAGGCTGAGGCTGCTGGAGAGGGGCGGGGGGAGCCTCCAGATGGGCACCTCAGCAGGCAGCAGATGGTGGGGACAGCTGCTGAGTGAACCCTGGGGTGTGGTGCTGGGAGCCAGGACGCCTGGGTTCTCTTCCCTTCTCTGCCACTGACTCACAGTGTGGCCTTAGAGAGGCACCCTCCCACCTTTCTCTGTGCCTCAGTTTCCCTGCCCCCAGGTGAACCTGCTCCCTTTGCACACACGGTGCTCTCTGGCTGGGTGAGAGGGAAGCCAGGCTGTGCAGTACTGGGCTCCCCGCCCTGGGCTGGCACTGCCAGGCAGGGACCACAGCCCCAAGGGCCACCCAGGGCTGTGCCTCGTTGCCCTCTGGGGCCACTGCTGGCCAGGGGAGAGCTCAGCTCTGCGCCGCTCACACCTCTCTGCGCCTTGGGCAGGTTCACCAAGATCCAGAACACCAAGGTGACGATGAAACGGGACGGCATCAGTTCCCTGCAGTATCGGCTGGTGGAGGTGACGCGCTGGCCCATGTACACGAACATCACGGTGGACATCGGCAAGCCGCCCCCACGCCCGGCCCGGGGCTAGCACCTTCCCCCGGCCCACGGGAGCATGAGGCTGGAGCGCAGGGCTGGCCGTGCCCTGGCAGGGGAGGCTCTGTGCCCTGGGCTGGCTGGATGGATGCAGAGGAGCCTCGCCGTGGTGCGGGGGTGCGGATCGAACCAGGACGTGTTCGGCCCACTCTGTCTGCCTTCTGGACATGGCTGCGCCCCAGAATCCCCCCTCACCGTGCGGCGGTTAGCCCTGCCCCGCAGGCCGGGGACAACGCAGCGGCCCCCCACTATCCAACACGGCCCCAGCCAGGGGCTTGGGGAGCTTCAGGCTCTGGCTAACGAGCTCCCCCCCTTTACGAGGAGAGCCAAGGACAGAGCTGCAGCTTCCCGGGGCGGCGATGCTCTGTGCTGTGGTCCTGGGCCGGGCGTGTCACCCCATCGCCCTGACTGGCTCAGTCTGGGCCAGCGGCAGCAGGGGCTCTGTGCCCCGCGGGTTCAGCTCCAGCTGGGCCACGGCTCATTCTGTGGGCGCTCGCAGGGCTCCCGGGGGGCAGCGTGGCTGGGAGAGGGGCCAGTGCGGCTCCCTGCCACCTGCTCCCCCTCCTGCCTTGCTCCCAGTGGGGCACAGGGCTCTGAGCACAGACGCAGCCCCTCTCGCTGTCTTCCTCGGCCGCGTCAGCTAGTGCTTAGAGCCCAGGCCAGGACACCTGGGTCCTAGTCTCAACCCTGCCCCCCTTTGTGCCTCAGTTTCCCCCCTGCCAGGGACTCAGGGGCTGGCCCCTCCTGCACACTGCGGCTGTGTGTGTGGATGTACTGTATCCCGGGGGGCTTCAAAGGGACTATTCCCATCCTGGCCCTGCCTGAGGGGGGGCCCTTGTCTGCTCCATTCCCTCTGTGCAGCCCCCCCAAGCGGCTGCTCCAATTAGGGGGGTAAGGCGTCTTGGAGCCTGGGGCGGTGGTCACACCAAAATGGCTGTGGGTGAAAGGAAGGTCAGAGACTCCATGGATCTCCCCAGCTGTGGGCGGGGGCCCAGCCCCTCGCACGCTGTCCCCTGGCGCTTCCTGCCAAGCAGCCCTGCACCTCCCCTGCCTGCCGATTCCAGCCGCGCCTGCTGCTGCCCCCACCCAAGGGCCCTTTTACAGCACAGAACATTCCAGCCCAGCTCTTCTCTGGGGCGGGGCCTTGGCAGCGGGCGGCCGCTATCTATAGAACTAGTTTGCCTGGTGCCCTAGGAAGGGGAAGGCTCCTTGGTGGGGATGGGCACTGCCCACCCTGGAGGGCAGGAGCTGGTGGTGGGGCAGAGCCCTGCGGGGTTCCCTCCCTCTCTCCCCCCTCGCCCCCCAGGGCTGTTGCTCCGGCGTCGAGCTCCATGTATAGCTTAACCTGTCCACCCCCGAGCCCCAGCCGGGCCCCAAGCGTGATGCGTGCGAGAACACTGCCAGGGGGCAAGGAACCAGTACCACCTCCACTGCCAGCGAGTGGGGGGGCACAGCACCCTGCCACACCCCCTCCCCTGCACTGCTCCCCCCCAGTTCTGAGCCCAGCCCTCTCCTGGAGCGAAGAGAAGAAACCAGTGGTGAGTGGGCCCCCCCCCCCCCCCCGCGCCCCGGGGGGGGGGGGGGCC